AAAAGCTGCAAGGCAGAGAGGGAAGCAAGATATGGAAGAGGAAATGGGCTGAGCAAGATGTGATCTGAGCTTAAGTCTAGTTTAGTCTAATTTGGAAGAAGGATCTTTGGAACAAAACTTACCCTTGAGGCAAGGGGCCAGCCTTTTGTACCTCGATCAGTGCCTTGTGGATTGAGGACTTCATGGGGATAATAGATTATCTCCCTTTTCCAAGGACAATTCTTCAGAGAAGGTGAAGACTGTGAGCCAGTAGCAGCCAGTGCTCCTGATAATCAGGGAATGGGTGCACTGATCTTCCTGGCAAATGGAGAATGGGTGTACTGACTTGGAAAAGGGGATCTGGGCAGGATACCACTGGCATCCATCACCACACTTAACCTCTCAGGCCCCAGTTTCTTCACTTATCCTCCTATTTGCAGGATTGTTTTTGAAAAACAGCAGCTAGCAATTATAGTCCTATAAATGACAGGGATACATCCTGAGAAATGTGCTGTTGTATGATTTTTGTCACTGTGCAAGCATCATAGAATGTACTTACACAACCTAGATGATATACCCTACTACACACATAGGGTAGGTGGTATAGTCTGTTGCCCCTAGGCTGCAAACCTGTACAGCATGCTACTGTGTTGAATACAGCAGACATTTGTAGCACAATGCTGTATTTGTGTATCTAAACATAGAAAAATGTAGTAAAAATGCAGTATGAAAGATAAAACAGTATACCTGTATAGGACACCATGAATGCAGTCTGTAGGACTGGAAGTTGCTCAGGATGAGTCAGTGAGTGAGTGAAGGGTGAATGTGAAGACATTATACTACTCTAGACTTTATAAACATTGTACACTTTAACTATACCAAATTTATTTTTAAAATATTTGTTGACACCATCACTACAAACACATGAATAATGCATTGCGCTAAGCTGTTAAGATAGCTACGATGTCAGTAGGTGACTGAAACGTTATGTGGCACATGACTATATGAAAGGACAATGCAATCTATAAAATGCTGCATCAAACAAATAGAAGGAGATATTACTAAATTTGCATTTAATATGCCAAGGTAAAAGGAGTATCTGACATACTGGTGAGAAAGTTTTAAGTTGAAGTTTTTGTGAGACTTTTTCTTTTGCCTCATTTTTTAAAAAAGTGTATTACAGACTGTACTCACATGGGTTTTAAAAGTAAATTAATATTAAAAAGTAAAGGTTTCTGTATTGAATGAAATTCTCCATTTTTTATATATGTCTCTACCCAACCTAATCATTTAATCATACGTAAATTCCATTTGTTCTGCAACAGTCTCTCAACTAATCCATCTAAATGTTCTTTGATCCTAACTTCTTTCCTTCCCTGCTCTTCCCACCCTGCCTCACTACCTCTATTCTGCTCTCAAAACATCTCCCTCAATTGTTTCTTTAGCTCTGTTTGAGAACTAACATTGAATTTTAAAAATAACATTGTTGTGAATAAGGAGAGTTTTATTTCTTCCCTTCCTTATTTCCCTTTCTTGTCTTGATGCAGTGGCCAATCTCTCCTGGACAATGTTGGGTAGAAATCATACTAATAGTCGTCTTATTCCTGATTTTGAATGGATTCATCTAATGATTCATATCATATTTGTTGTGAGTTTCTGATAATTATCCTCCATAATATTAAGAACATTCCTATTTAGTCCTCATTTACTAAAAGCCTTTCTCACAAATGGGTATTGAATTTTATCAAATAATGTTTCTGCATATGTTAAAATGATGGTATAGTGTTTCCTCCTTTGATCTTAATGTGAACTAACAGATTTTCTGTTGTTAAAATATCAGTTTTTCGAGTTTGTTAACTATTCAAATTTTTCTAAGTTTTTGTTTGCCCTCTGATTTTTTTTTTTTTTTTTTTTTTTTTTAGTAGGGGGACAGAAGCTTGCTCTGTCACCCAGGCTGGAATGCAGTGGCATGATCTCAGCTCACTGCAACCTCAGCCTCCTGAGTGGCTGGGAATACAGGCCGGTGCCACCATGCCTGGCTAATTTTTGTATTTTTAGTAGAATTGGGGTTTCATCATGTTGGCCAGGTTGGTCTTGAACTCTTGGCCTCAAGTGATCCGCCTGCCTCGGCCTCCCAAAGTGCTGGGATTACAGGTGTGAGCCACCCCACCTGGCCTGATCTATTGATTATTGGGAGAGGTTTGTTAATACTTTGCTGTGGGGAAAAGACTTGTCAATTTCTCCTTGTATTATGTCAATTTTGTTTTGCATATTCTAAGGTTATGAGTTGAGGTATATAGAAGTTCAGGAATTGCATGTCTTCTTGACATGCAAAGAAATCTTGAGGAATTACTCCTTTAATCATGATGTTTTTATCGCTAACAATGCTTGTGTGGTCTGATATTAATGTAACTAGGCCAAAATCTTTTAGAGATTATTAGCCTCGTATCTCTTTCTCATCCCTTTGCATTTTAAAAAAATGATTTCCTTTGGACATCAAGTGCACAGAATTGTATTATTCATATTCCTTTATGTGATTCATAACACACTGATATCATTGGTCCATGTATTAGTCTATTCTCTCATTGCTCTAAAGAAATACCCGAGACTAGGTAATTTATAAAGAAAAAAGGTTTACTTGGCTCATGGTTCTGTATCCTGTACAGGAAGCATGATGCTGGCTCTGCTTGGCTTCTGGGGAGGTCTCAGGAAGCTTACAATTGTGGCGAAAGGCAAAAAGGGAGTGGGCATGTCACATAGCCAGAGCAGATGTAAGAAAGAGAGGGGGAAGATGCCATACACTTTTAAACAGCCCAGTCTTACGAGAACTCACTATTGCAAGGACAGAACCAGGGAGGATGGTGCTAAGCCATTCATGAGAAACCCACCCTCATGATCCAATCACCTCTCACTAGGACTTGCTGCCGATATTGGGGATTACAATTTGACATGAAATTTCATGGGGACACAGATCCAGACCATGTCAGCCCATGAATGGCATGCTTATGATTATTACTTTCTTAATTTAAGTAGTTATTTTAAATAATTAAATTAGCACTCTTTAACCTGCCATTCAAAACAAAAGACCTTGAAAACCACATATATAGCTAGTCATTTGGTACTCCTTATTTCAGCCACCTGACTTCTTCCAATTGAGGGAACATCATCCTGAATCCCAATTTTACTGTTTCTTGCTTTCCTTTTTTATATATAATTTTATTGCATATATATGCATTCCTAAGCAGTATGTTTTTTTAATTGATTTTAATATCCTTTTACAATATTTTTATGTCCAAATCTTATCTTTTAACTATGAATCCCTTTCATCCATAGATATTTTTATGATGATTTATTTCCACCACCTGATTTTGTCATTCTATTTTTCATGATCTTTCTTTGATTTTTTGTTAGTTCCTGTCTTGTGTTGATTAATTTATATTTTCTTCTTTTCCCCCATTTACATGTTTGAGAACCATACATTTACACATGAGCATAAAGTGTCCATATACCCACCTAGCTTGTGAGATTATGAAACTAATCTTTCCCCACCCTTCTCCATATTATACAAAACTTGCAATGCCTCCTATCAACCCCCTCCAATATTATATAATGTTATTGATTAATACTTTATTTCTTCTTGTTTTTAAGCTTTCCTTTCCCCAAAGTGATCATTGTTATTATTGTTGTTGTTATTATTGGATTTTTATCATCAATGATTAACTAGGTTTCCATGTATACATTTTAACAAATTGGTTTTACTTACTGGGGCTTTCTTGAAGATTTGTTTTTCTTCTCCCTGAAGCACATGTTTCAGTGGTTTGTATAGCAACTGCAAATTCTCTCAGGCTTTGTGTTAACATGTTTTTATTTAACCCTTACCCCTGAATGGTAGTTTCCATGTGTCTGCAGTAAGTTAGAGAGCCCTCATTAACTCAGTCTGCTCAGGTTGACAGTTGTATTCTTCAACACTTTAAGTACTTCTTTTTAGACTTTTATTTTAGGTTCAGGGGTACATGCACAGGTTTGTTATATAGGTAAATTGCAACAGAGTGAGACCCCCACCTCAAACAAAACAAAACAAAACAAAAAAACAAAACGCTGAGGTCAGAGAGATAATGTGAAGCCAGACTGTGAAGAGCCTTGCCCACTTCTGTAAGAGCTTGGGCTGTTAATTTTGGTGAAAATGGAAACTATTGCAGGGTTTTGAGTGGAAGAATGATGTGTGTGATCCAACTTAAATTATGCAGGGATTTAAAAAGGGTTACTCTGACTGATATATTGAGAAGAAACTGTAGGGGGGACTCATTTGTAGGCTTCCATAGTAATAATCATGGAAGAGCAAGAGTGGCTCAGACCAGGATGGTAGCAGCGGAGGTGGTGAGAAATGATCAGCTTCTGAATCTACCTTAAAAGTGAGTTACAAATCAAAACCTAGCAGGTTAAAGTAGAGAGTAGCTCTCAAGCTTTTCCAAGGCAAAGACAACATCTTGTTCATCTTTATTTCCTTAGTGCCTGAGCATAGACATGACAAAAGCAATTGGGGGTTGCTGAATGAATGGTTAGGAATACATAACTTACTTAGAAATAGGGAAAGCCTAGTATTTCTGTAAGCAGATATGCAAATACTTTGGCTGTCAAGGAATCTTGATTTACTTAAATAATACAAAAGAAAAAGTTGAGTCAGCCAATTTCCACATTCACTGATCTAAGAGGAACTCTTTTAGGTGCTGAGGTTACAATGAAAAGCCAGTCATATATCTCGAATATCTCATGTATCCCTTGTATCTCTCAGCCCCTCAGCAGGCCTTGTATACCCTGTGCTATAAGTGGGTCTGTAAGGCTACAAACTCCATTTCCCAGGCTCCCAATGCTTATGGGCAGAACTGGTGGGAGAGAAAAAAAGGGAGAAAATTGTTAAAGGTTTTAATGCTTTAGTTAATACCTGAAATGATAGTTATTTTCTGACAGTTTGGAAATTATGCAGTCCGTTGTCTCATTTAAGAATTCATTCAGAGGAAAGGAATAATCATATGGTTTATTACTTGTATACAAATAAGTTACATTAGGATTGCTTTCCTAGATCCCTGAAAACCTTGAAGTACCAACCTTAGAAATGGCAATAAAAACAGGAATTTGAAAAAATGTGCAGAGGATTTTGGGCAATCTTCCAATTCAACAACATACACAAAACAGGCAGGAATATACCCCAATGTTCAACCATTAATTCAGAAAGGAGTCCAGGAAATCTTACTGCATTCAAATTCCAGGGTCATTGGTTGACACTGTAAATAGAAGGGGACCGCAAATGCCAGAAACCAAGTAAGAAATCTGGGTAAATACAACAATAAAAGGATATTTCTATAATAAGGGAACATGATACATATAAAAAAAAAAGTTCACAAGAAAGTAGTCATGGAAAGTATTCATCCCGAAAAATTTCTGTCATAGCAACTCCCTTTGAAATGTACAAAAGAGAAACTACTTATACAAAGCTGACTGAAAAATAAAGCTTCCTCATTTGAATCTATCAGACCCAATTTTGACTATCATGAAGAAAAACAAAAAATGGACTAGAACAGGTATTTAGAGAAAAATAGATAAAATGAATTTACTTAGTGGTTAAAGTTCTTATGAATAATTGAGGAAATGGTACCATATAGGTTTGGGAAATTATTAGAAGATAAGAAGACCAATACTGTCAAATAGTTACAGGACATTTTTAAAATATAGTCTTTACTAATAATTATAATTCCTTTATATGGAGGTTTCCATTAACAAAGTGTTCAATCTCAACTTCTCTACCAATTAGCAACATTTTCAGAGTTTTTACATAGCACTTCTTATTTATATAAGCAGATCCTCAGAATCCTGTGAGGTAAGTTGTCACTCCTACTTTTTTTTTTTTTTTTTCCACTAAAGGAAGAGGCAGAGAAAGTCTTTTGCAGAATTATATACATCTTTGCCAAAATTAAGAACAAACCAAGAGTGCCATTCATCAAAAGCTTTTTTCATTATAACCATTCATTCTTTCGAAGTAGAAAAAAACGCTATAACCAGTTACTATTCAAGCAAAGGGAGAAAAAAGAAAATAGAGGATTTCTGCACTGCTTCAGTTACAGAAATGAAATAGAATGGCAGACTAGTCACCACTAAAATTCCTAAAAACAATTTAAGAAAATATGAAAAGTGACATTTTATTGTGCTTTATATACTGCTTATATCTTAACTAAATAGTTTATTTTACTGGATTTGATTTCACTGGAAAATAACTTTTTTGGCCATCCTTTTCAATAGGCTACAGATAAACCCATTTTATAATTCAGCTATTTATAAACACATACCTCTGTTTTATACAAAAGTGGAGTATCTAAAAACTATAAGCAAAATAATTTTCTTACTTGATATTATATAATACACCAGATAAAGTTTCCAAGATAATATTTTGATTATGAAATATCATGGCTCCCTAATGCTTACTGAATAAAATTTAAACTTTTTGTTCTGGCACTGAAGGCTCCTACAATGTCCCTATCTCTTAAAATTTGCTTTATTTACTCAATTAGACAAAGTTGTGAGTCCATTCAGCTTTCTAACATGTAAAGCTGTCCATATAATAATAACAGCTTGCACAGCTGGAAGTATCCTTTTCCTTCTCCGAATTTCTACAAGCCTCAGTTTACCACTCATAAGGCATTTATTGCACCGCCTTATTTGTGTGCAAATCTTACCAACCTGATTATACTAAAGGCCTAAGCCCAAGTGTGTATATACACACACACACAGATAGAGGCTTTATTTCTTCCCTTGTCTAGCATAGCAGACACTGAAAAGTACTTTTCAACAATATTTCCCTCCTCTACAGAGAAGACTTTTAGGCTTGGAGGCGCAGGAGTGAAAGGAGGCACAGTGGTCCTTAGTTAATCTCAGGAAGTTATATTCATATAATACTTTCTGGTTTGTAAAAAGCTTTCACATGTATCTCTTCATGTAACATCAGAAACAAATACCACAGAAAAGTGAATAGAGTTGTCTGTAATGAGTTTCAGTGTGTAAAATCAGAGCTATTAGCAAATATTTAGGAAAAGTAAAAATTAAAGGAGAAAAGGAAATGGCTAGCTTTGTGGAAATAACATAAATAAAGCTGATTTTAAAGAAATTAAAAGGCTAGGAAAGATTGAGTGGAGAAAGTCTACAGAACTTTGGAATGCTAAAGAAGTTTTAAATTAGACTGAAAAGAAGGAGATAATGAAGGCAATAAAAGATTGTAGGGAACTAATAAAGGGAGAACTTTATGGTTTTGAAAGTCTCTGGTCAGCCTGTGGTATTTCAGAGCAGAAATCCAGAAAGGGTATTTGAGAATAGACAAGAACACTATGCTGGTGACTGAATAAAACATGGTCAGGTAATTCATCAGAAGCAGAATCCATTCATGAAAATCTGGCAGTGCTGGAAGATGGTAATAGGCACTTGAGCACTTCAGAAATCAGTCTTTAAGCACACAGGTGATTTGGGTGAAAACAGAAGATATCAAAAAATTCTTATTTCTTGTGAATAACTCACAGCATTGAGCCTTGACAGCACATATCAACACTTTGGATATTGTGAAATCCTTTTCATCAGATACCTAGGATTCCCAATGTGCTTCTGAACAGACACATTTTCTTTTTTTTCTTTTTGAGACAGTCTCACTCTGAAACCCAGGCTGGAGTGCAGTGGCACCATCTCAGCTCACTGCGACTTCAATCTCCCAGGTTCAAGCAATTCTCCTACCTTGGCCTCCCAAGTAGCAGGGATTACAGGCATGTGTCACCATGCCTGGCTAATTTTTGTATTTTTTGAAGAGATAGGGTTTCACCATCTTGGCCAGGCTGGTCTCAAACTTCTGACTTCATATGATCTGCCCGCCTCAGCCTCCCAAAGTGCTGGGATTACAGGTGTAAGCCATGGCACCCAGCCTGAGCAGATACATTTTCTCCTACCACTCAAGACGTGAGTTTCTCTCCTTGTAGGCTGCCTCTAACCTGATCTTCCTGTCCCCAACTGACAGGGCAGTTTTGAAACCATGAATAATAATTATAAATATTTGGTATGAATCTTCGGACCTGGAGAAAGTTTAAGCTTAGCTGGCATAAGCCTTGATGCACAGTCAGCTATAAACTGGGGAAGAGGGACACAGATGACGTCTTAGCACTTGGTTAGGCCCAAGATAACTAAAAGGTAAGAAACAAGATGGTAAGTCTTACAGAATGTCTTCAAAATTCATAATAATCATTTTGATCTAACTTGATAGGTTGATTTTTATTTACCTGAATGTGAAAGATTCCCCCTAAAGTGTAGCAAAATTAATGTAAACTAACATAATTAACATTGACTAAACAGTGGAGTTCTATGGATGGAGCAATCTCACAATGTCTTAATGATAAAGAAGCTGTTTAAGGCATTCTTCTCATCTGTACTATCATGGTAGAGAAATATGGATTCCCCCACCCCAATTCTGAAAACAGTATGTACATGGCAACAAATACACTAGATTGACCCAGAATCTAGAACCTCAGAGAAGAATACATAAACAAAAATGGCATAAGTTAGAAATTTCTCAGAAATACAGACAACATCAAATTTTTGGAGCTACAAAGGCCATTTTACTGGTACATTTAATAGATGTTTATTAGCACCTATCATACAAGGCACAATGAAGAGTAAAAGATCTCATCGATCTGACCAATTTGTGAAAGATTCATTAGAGGCAAAATGAGTGGTCAGAGCAGCAGCCCCCCAGATCAGAGCCATCCAACCAGATGTCCTAAAATGCTAGCTGAGGGCAATTAACAAGTCCAGAAGGCCATTTAAATCCACTGGGTGAGAACAAACTATTTTAGGTCCTACAACTTTCAGACCACTCTCCCATGGCCTCCTATCAAATGACTTCTTCTTCCAATCACTTTCTAGAATGTAGAAGATAACTTATCATCTCAGCCAGACTACATTTTCCCATACCTGATGATGTATAGTGGTAAATAAAGCCCTGGTCCACAACTTCTGTAACCATTAAGGGCTCCAGGGTGGCTTCAGTTCAGTGACAAATGAGCACCAATGTTGGCATGAATACTATGGGTCACTGTGAAATAATTTTTTTCCCTACATGGCTTCTCTGATGTTGAACAAGGTATGAAGTTCGAGTGAAACCTTTTCCACATGTATCACACTGATAGGGTTTCTCACCAGTGTGGATTTTTTGATGTTCAATAAGACTTCTATTCCGGGTGAAACTTCTCTCACACTCATTACATTTATAAGACATGGGAGCCTCAATATTTTCCCACTGGCTTTCCATCCTACCCTGACTTTCCCAGGACTCCCCATGCTCAGGATTCTGAACATTTTTATCACCATGAATCCTCTGATGTCTCAGGAGATGTGAATTCCGCCTAAAGGTTTTGCCACACATATTGCACTGGTATGGCTTCTCCCCAGTATGAATTTTGTGATGTTCAAGGAGGCTGCAGCTCTGGCTGAAGGTCTTCCCACAGTCATCACACTCATAGGGCTTCTCCCCAGTGTGGGTTCTCTGGTGTTTGATAAGATTTGAGCTGTGACTGAAGACCTTACCACATTCTTCACACTCATATGGTTTCTCACCAGTGTGAACTCTCTGATGAATGACAAGGGCAGAGCTCCCAATGAAGGTCTTCCCACAGTCTTCACATTCATATGGTTTCTCACCAGTGTGGATTCTCCTGTGTTTAGTCAGGCCTGAACTTTGAGCAAAACTCTTTCCACATTCATGGCAATAATGTCGCTTACTCCCTACAGCATTTTTCTGCTTTCTTTGTAACCTGCCCTCCTGTTCACCAGCTTCTGCACATGTAGGATTCTGGGCAATGTCTTCCCTCAGGTGGCATATCTTCCCATGCTCCTTTTTTGAAAGCTTCTTGACTGCAGGCAAGTCCCTGCTCTCAGTCTGTATTTCACCACCTGAAACAACAAATGGCCAGCAACCGTGGGTTATGCCCTGCCATGGGAGGAAAGCTCTGTGATGAGTACCAGGGAAGCAAGAATTACAGAAGTCTATATATGCCCAGGATGAGGATTTAAGTGCTAGAATAAGGATGGGAATAAAAGGGGAGAACAGGGGTGCTGGGGGGGAGGGAGACCTAAGAATGAGAATGGGGCCACTGGAAGGGTTCAAACTGTGAATGGAAGGAAAGTGGTGAGGACCCAGGACTATGCAGGGGACATATGTGGTGGTTCTAAGCTCTAAGAATAGTAAGGCAGGGCCATGCACCTATGATTAGATTTTGAAAGGGCTGAGCAGAGGGTGGTAGTAACAGGACAAGTGGAAGGATTTCTGAAGCATCTGCAAGAAATGGCAAAAGCAAAGACTAGAAATTGGTGATGGATCAATGACATGGGCTGTCATCTCTAACTGTGCCCCAGGCAAAGGCAAAGTTCTCAAACAGAGCTGGCACTAGCACTAGGAGTTCTGAGTTAGAGTCCCCACTATGCCACCAATAAGCTATGAAATTTCAAACAATTGAGTAATTTACACCTCTGCACCCTCAACCCTAAGGTCAGGGTCTGTAGTTCATGTCTAAGGTTGCTTCTGGCTCTCACATTCTGAATCCATGGCTCATTTCCTAAAGAGGCCCCCCAGCTTTCCTCTTCAGTCAGGGATAGGAACAAGAGGACATCAACATTTACTGAGCATCTCCTATGAACCAGACCTGTACTAGGAGTTGTGTCAACTTCACCCCACTTATCCTAACTAGAACACTGGCATGGCAGAGGAGAAAGCAAGGTCAGAAGGAGTAAGAAGCTAGTAGTCAGTAACAGGCTTTCAGGAATGGTGATTCTGAATCCAAACATAATGGGGACTCAACAGCTTCTAACAGCCCAATAGGTTCTAATACACAAAAGAATGCCAAGCAATCTTAAGACAAATTAGTGTCTCAGTCTTACCAAGGGAGATGAGGCTGCTATGGTTCTCCTGCTTTTCATCTCTGTAGATGTTCACCTGAGATGAATCTAGCTGTGTCCACCCAGGAGAGAGGGTCAGAGCCACATCTTCCATTTTCAGCAACCCCTAAAACAATAGGTAGTCCTAACTAGCTCCTCTTGCCTAAAATTACTCCCAAAGCAAAGAATGAAAATCACCTTTAAAGAGCAAGTGTGGCACACCTACACCGATTTAGCTTTATCTCTAATAATGTCTTTACCAAAAACACCTGCCAAATGAAAGAAATATTACACACATTTTAGAATAAGTACTTTCAATAAATATCAAAACAGTCCAGAAAGTGAAAAGGTTTGGAAAACAAGGGTCAATGCAGCAAAAGGAATGAAACTATGTCGAAAATTTTCAAAAGATTTGCAGTATGCTTTGGCAAAGTGAGGGTAGAGGTTCATTTACATTAATAGTTTTAAAAATACAATGAAATCTAGGACTGAAGGGAGAAAAATTAGGGGAAAAAAGGATACTACAGAGCCTCAAACACTGAAATCTTCAAGCAGGACATGAAAGGCTGCATAGTAAATTGAAATCTAGGTTGAGAAAAGATTGTTCATATTGTAATATAAATAACTTTAAGAGACTATGCCTTATCTGACCTTCCAGGTATAAGTTCTTTGAGGGCAAGGGCCAGGCCTTTATATCCCTCACCAACAGCACAGCTTATTATATTTTAAAAAGCAAAACAGAATGACCATCCCAACAAAACCTTCAGTTTGCTTTTGCAGAACTGCCCTTGTTGAAGAAGAAAAATCACATTGAGGAAGAGGCTGACCTAAGAAATGTAGTAGGAAAGATCTGAGAAGCACAAATAACATTCCAAGGTTGTTGTGAAACAGGAAAATCCTCTTAGGTGGGCACCAAAATGAAGGTAGACAATAATAGGCAACTTTGGGATAGATGAGAAAACTCAAATCCATATAGATCTAGCATAGGGGTGGAGTAGGACCGGGGAGGGAAGAACCTAATGCGGAGCCCAACAGTAGTGAAAGGTATGGGGTGCTGGGGAGGGAGAGGAGCTCCAGCTCACCTGGGACCCTGGAGTGAGCCTGGAAGCTACCATTGCATCTTCTCTGCAGCACCCTCCCTGGGAAAGCCCAGGAACCTGGAGAACTAAGAAGGAAAGAAGCTCTGGATGAGAACTACCCTAGTATTCAGCCTCCCCGCCTTGCAAAATCCAAGTTCAAAAACTGGGGCAGTAAGTTCTTGCCAATAAGTTTATACAGAATGTGTTCCTTCCAAAAATGCCTGATTCCCACCAGCTCCAGCCCTAGGGCCGAAAGAAATCTGGTGTGCTCTGCAGATATACAAAAACCACGTGCAGAATCCTTGGTAGGAGTGGTGAAATGAAAGCAACATAACAAAGCTTTCCATTTGAAGACCTTTGGGTTTTGAATTTTTCTAGGAGATGGGGAGTAAAGAGGGTTTTTTGTTTTTGTTTTGTTTTGGATAAAATGTCTTTAGTAGACATTAGGATGCTTTCTACTTCAGGTATGAAAAATTAGGAGGAGGCCAGGCACAGTGGCTCATCCCTGTAATCCCAGCACTTTGGGAGGCTGAGACAGGTGGGTTGCCTGAGTTCTGGAGTTCGAGACCATCCTGGGCAACCTGGAGGAACCCGTCTGAACCAAAATTACAAAAAATTGGTGGGTGTAGTGGCATGGGCCTGCGGTCCCAGCTACTCAGGAGGCTGAGGTGGGAGGATTGCTTGAACCTGGGAGACAGGTTGCAGTGAGCCAAGGTCTCACCACTGCACTCCAGCCTGGGTAACACAGTGAGATCCCCGTCTCAAAAAAAAAAAAAGAAAAGAAAAGAAAAAGAAAAAGGAAAAACTAGAAGGAGTCAAATAAGGCTTGGTCCAGAAAGGAGGAAATGAAAGACTGCCTAAATAGAACTTGCTCAGACTCAAAAGAGAAGTAGAAGAAACCTTAGGTTTCCCTACAATAAGTCAATTTGCAAGGGGCAGAAAACAAGTTGGTTTAGGCAAGGAACTCTGCTGAGAAATAAAGATTGCATGTTGGATGGCATGTCCAAGTGTTGTATGTCTTAGGAATCAACCCAGATATTCACAGCACGTGAGGAACAGGATGGAACACACAGCTGCTTCCTGTTAAGTGATTTTCACTCTTCTAGTTATAGATTTTACAGGGTTTAGATTTACGCTCTTCTATTTGTAGTAGTCCTACTATCTCTGGAATGTTCTGGCTGGCTTTACAAATTCTGCCTTATTTTCTTCATAGCACTTACCAATATCGAAAATTATATTATTATTTGCTATCCTCCCTGCTAGAATGTAAGCTCCATCAAAGCAAGAATTCTGTCTTATTGGTAGCTCTCACCCCAGTACCTACAACACTGGCTACCACAGATGAGGGTTCCCTAAATATATGTTTAATGAATGGAGATCACCATGTTGTTTAAAAAACTGATTATTTCTAGACATAAATTTTAATAAAATAGGATTTACTATGTCCTAGTTTGGTTAGGAAAGTTTTTCACCATTGTTTGAAATTTCTCTTTTAGACTCAGTTTTAAAATACAGTCTCTCTGTAAAGAGCATATAAACTGTAAATGGATCTTTTGAGTGATCCTTAAATGAAATTGGATGAAGTCTATAGAATTCATACAACCCGGAAGAGAATACTCACCTCTGTCTTGTAAGGGCTGGGATCCCAGAGATTCATGCTTGAACAGAGCCTTCACTGGCTGGCACTGGCTACTTTGAGACCCTTGAGTTTGTGTCAACAGTGCCATCTTGCAACAGAGCATTTCTTGCCCTTGGTCACCAACTGGAACCTAGAAGTCATTATTTTTAGTTATCTACCCAACATTTCTATGTTTTCCATGTGCAAGTGATTTCTATTTTCTAGGCACTGTTTCTGAAAGCCTTATGATATTAACACAATTCATATAGATAACAACCCTATGAGCTGTTATTTTGGATTTTTGTGATAAGTTGCTGAAAACGGAGATGTGGCCCTGATCCTCTCTCTTGAGTGGAAAGCATTTTTGTTGTTGTTGTTTTTTGTTTTTTGGTTTTTTTTGAGATGGAATTTCACTCTTGTTGCCCAGGCTGGAATGTAATGGCATGATCTCGCCTCTCCACAACCTCCACCTCCAGGGTTCAAGTGATTCTCTTGCCTCAGCCTCCCTAGTAGTTGGGATTATAGGCATGTGCCACCACACCCAGTTACTTTTTGTATTTATAGTAGAGACAGGGTTTCTCCATGTTGGTCAGGCTGGAATGTAATGCCATGATCTCGCCTCACGGCAACCTCCACCTCCGGGGTTCAAGTGATACTCCTGCCTCAGCCTCCCTAGTAGCTGGGATTACAGGCATGTGCCACCACACCCAGCTACTTTTTGTATTTTTAGTAGAGATGGGGTTTCTCAATGTTGGTCAGGCTGGTCTTGAACTCCTGATCTCAGGTGATCCATCTGCCTTGGCCTCCCAAAGTGCTGGGATTACAGGCATGAGCCACTGTGCCCAGCCAAGGGTGGACAGTGTTTAAGCAGCTTGCCCTTGTCACCCAGCCTGGGCAAGGTGCTTTTAAGCAAGCTGCTTAAATAAGTGGCAATGCTAGGATGGGAGCTCAGACAGAATGACTCCAGATCCCATGTTCTTACCATTACTCTAGGCTCCCTCATTATATACATCTGTGTGTTTACAAAAACCCTTTGGACACTGCTGCTAAATTCTCAAAGAATACTAATATATGTTCTAATCTGAAAAATGAGGATAATAATTTATATTTTATGGGGTTTTGGAGACCAGTAAATAAGATCACAGTATGTGAAATCACCTAACATAGGGCCTGGCACATAGTTATGTCCTCATTAAAAGCAGGTTTCCTCCAGACATTTATAGCTAAATTACAGTTTTCAAGTTGCTGTCTCATGTGCAGCTCAGAATTTCCCACATCTTTTATGAAGAATGAAGCTAAGAGATTTATAATGACTTCCCACTGCTACAGGGCTGGGGTGCAATAGACCTAAGTCAAGAACCTCGGTATCCAGCTCACCATTTAGAAGGCTTTGGCCACACAGGTCCTCTGAGGGTGTGTGCACAGGGACACAGGACAATGCGAAGAGGAAATGGTCCCTCATAAAACAGGGAAGAACATGGAGGTAAAAATCGGCCCACTTTCTACCAGAGGTTCATAACCAGTGGTCCATGGACTTTTCTCCCAAGTGGTCCATGAACTTAGACAGGACAAAAACTAATCTTATTTTTACTGGTCTTTAAGAGAGAGTTAACATTTCCTTCAACTATGAATGGAAGCAACCAACAAATTATGGGTAGCATAAGCAGTACCCAGGACTTTGTCACCAATAGAACCTGCACATGTTTTCACATCACATTACAACCAGGCAAATAGATGCTTATCACATTCTGAAATTGCCAATTATAAGCCCTGTCCCTAGGTCTTATTATTTAGTGCACTAATAAAAATCCACATATATTACTTTAATACAAATTTAATTCTTTGCTAACTGTATGTCATTATGGTTGTGTTCTTTTGTAATCCTTTATAGTTTCTTTATATATTTAAAAATATAATTCTGAGAAGGAGTCCGGGGACTTCACCTTACTGCCAAGGAGGTTCACAGTACAAAAAGAGATGGAGAACTCCTGGATCTTAAAGGAATGCCCCTCACTCCGATCTGGGATTTCAGGAGGAAACAGACCACAGCGCTCAGATACTAAACCTGTTCTTTCTACCTGCGGCGTCGGTTCATCCAGCTGCCTCTCCAAATACTCCAATAGCACCACCACCTCCTCCCCGCTCTCTGGATGCTGCTCCCGCACCCAGCTCTGCAGATTCCCCGGCAGGATGGTCAGGAACTGCTCCAGCACCAGCAGCTCCAGGATCTGCTCCTTGCTGTGCATCTCAGGCTGCAGCCATTGTCGGCAGAGTTCTCGGAGCCGGCTCAGCGCCTCGCGGGGACCCGCAGCCTCCGGGTAGCAGAAGCCTCGGAAGCGCTGGCGGGAGCGTTCGGGGCCCCGAGCAGGGCTGCAGGATGCGCTCACCTCCGCCGTCAAGGCGGAAGCTTCCTCCTTCTCCACCTTCACGGTCAGAAGCCCCGTCTGGTCTTCTGCAGACTGGGCGTCCAGGGCTGCGTTTTTTCTCGGTTCTCTAGCCATTCTGACCCAAGGCAGTACTCGGGTCTCACTCTAGTTGCGACCTGTATATCTTCAGAGGATTCTGGAAAGGTGGCAAATTGTCCAGTAAAACTGCAAGTGGTCCCCCCTCCTCTCATGCCCAGAGGCCCAGGACACTCCTGAGGCGCAGCTGCACAGATCTCTCTTATAGTCCGTGCCCTTGCAGGGTCGTCCTCTGCCCTTCACTCTGAATCCCACAGTAAGTATACCCAAAGGATGTCTTTGGGAGTGAAAGTGATCACTCTCCAGACACAGGAGGGAAGTTGAGGCTGGAGCACAGGAAGCCTTGCTGGCAACTAAGGCAACTTCCTGGGCTCTCTAGGAAGCTTCTCTCAGTGGTTGTCTCCGAGTTAACCCTTTAGCTACCCTGTCCTTACACCACACAAGGGAAGGCAGTTAAGGGAAAGAGAAGGAAAGGATGACATACACTGGATCATAAGAAATAGAACTGAGCCTTTAAATCCTGGAAGGATGCCGCTGTGGCTCGTATTTCTTTCCTATGTAAAGCTTGCTTAAGCAGCTGGCATAAAATTAACACTAAAATTGAGCTGGAAAGCAGGGGTTCCCTAGAGCCCTAAAAACTCTGGCAAGATGACCAGAAACATCAAAGCAGCAGAACACATCACCAGGCACTTGCCTGGAGTGAGCAGTGGCTGCCCTTGGTCCTTCCCCACTCACCCCCTTAATCTGTCACTTTTTTTCCTCCTCATTAAGGTCAAACTACTTGAAAGAAAGCCCCCCCACCCCGACTGTAGCCCTCACTTCCCACTAATCCTTAACACACTGTCCCACTCCCCCACTCACCACTTTGCACATTCTGTGGCTGCTTCTCTGGCAATCAGGCTTATGCTGCTCTCCACCTTCAGAAACTCTCTAGTCTCTGGCTTCAGGGACCCCATTCTCTTCTGCTTTCTTCCTTCCCAGCCCCCATTCACAGTCAAGCACAGTGGCTAGATACACAGATAGCCAGGTTACCTGTGTAATCCTGGCTTTACCACTAACTGGCTGGGTGAGCTTGGTAAATTATTTACCCTCCCTGTGCCCGACTTTTTCAATCTGTAAATAGGGAAAGTAATAGTAGATAGGGATGTTACAGGCATTAGTAGGGATTAGATAATATTGAGAGCACTCTTGTGTAAACTGCTTAGAACAATGCCTGGCATGTGATAAACTAGGCCTATCCTATAATAGGAGAAAGCCTTGAGAATTCTTTGAACTAGATGGGACTCGATTTTAAGCCATAATTGACTATAAGTTATTTGGCTGGACACTTCAGTAAGCCTCTTTCTGCCCAGTGGAATGGAGAAGCTACAAAATGCAAGTTCAGTAATTTATTAGGGGAAAAAATACCGTGTCAGTACTTCCCTGAGTTTTTCTTTCTCTGCCTATGCTTCTATGTTCCAAGGATTAGGAACGGAAAGAACTTCAGAAAATGAGAGGTCCCAAAGACTGTTGCAAATGAAAACTGCTACAAAATATCTTTCTCTTGATGAGCTACCACAGAAGGTAGAGGGCAGTGCCCCTGAAGTATCCTTATAAGTAAACTTGAATATAAGTAAGTTTCTAGATCCTAATATTTACAGAAACAAGTTAAGTTAGCAGTTTTCACACTCTGTGTCACAGAAAATCACTGGGGAGCTTTTAAAACATCCTGATACCTAGACTGCAACCAGGATCAATTAAATCAGAGTGTCACTGGATGGGACTCAGGCATGAATAACATCTTTTTGTTTTTGTTTGTTTTGCGACAGAGTCTTGCTGTGTCTCCCAGAGATGGAGTGCAGTGGCACAATCTTGGCTCACTGCAACCTCTGCTTCCTGGGTTCAAGTGATTCTAGTGCCCCAGCCACCTGAATAGCTGGGATTACAGACATGAGTCACCATGCTGGTCTCGAACTCCTGGCCTCAAGTGATCCACCCACCTCAGCCTCCCAAAGTGCTGGGATTACAGATGTGAGTCACCATGCCTGGCCAACTTTCTTAGGTGATTCCAACATGCAGGTGAGTTTGAGAGTTAAGGAATTAAATGACACTTTAAAAAATCAATCAGCCAAATCCAGCATGTGGGATATTCTATAGAACAGAATGATGCAGGACAAGTGAGCCCCAAAATTAGGGCTTAGCTCAAGAGGGTGCTTTGCTTTGCCCAGGGAAGAGTTCAAGGGCAAGCCAGTGGTATGAGGCAACAACTTTTATTGACGTGTCAGTGTACAGCAGCAGCAAAGGTACTGCTCCTTACAGAGCAGGGCTACCCCCTAGGCAGTGTGCCCAGAGTAGCAGCTCAGAAGCAGTTCTGCAGTTACATTTATACCTACATTTAATTATATGCAAATTAAGCATCCAATTATGCAGAAATTTCTAGAAAAGGGGTGTTAACTTCTGAGACACCTGGTCATTGCCATGGAAAGGGGTGGCAACTTCCCTGTGTTGCCATGGCAATGGTAAACTGATATTGCACATTGGTGGGTGTGTCTTGTGGAGAGGTGATTTTGCCTCTTCCCTCTTAGCTAGTCTTCAATTTGGTCAGGTGTTGGAGCCCCACTTCTGGAGTTGAATTCTGCCTACTACCTCATTCCTCCCTCAGAGATTAGATATGCCTTCTTAATTTTAAGCAGGCTGCAGAAGGGCAGTGGTCCATCTTCTGTAACTGCTTCCTGCTTAGTTTATCGGTATAGGCCCTGCCTAGCACTGGAAGAGTACAAATCTCTGGATACCATATCTAAGGGCAGGATGCTTTTATTTTCTGGGTCAGTAGATGGGATGGGTTGGAAGCCTTTTGACAGCATTTTCTTTATCTGGAACTGTTGTAATTTAGAAGACACAGATTTTATAAAGAGGTTAAACAAGCAAGGGCCAAAGATTAGTAATAACAAGATGGCTATTAAAGGTCCTAGGAGAGAGAAAAACTAGGTGAGACTTTGAACGGCACTTTTGGTAATTGACCAGATATAGTTGGAGTCAGTGCCCTGATTATAGATATGTAACCGGGTAGCTTGCTTATAGATCTTGTGAAAGTTAAACTCAACCTGTTCAGAGTTGTTAATACATGTGCAGCAGGTTTTATTAATAACTGCACAGACTACATCTTGCTTGCCTAGTAAATAATCTATACACTGGGGCTGGCAAGTCAGGGGCTCTTCTCTGGGCATTCCAGATACCCATCTTATGACACTTTTTCAGGATGGGTAACCCTGAAGGGTCAGGTTACTTAAAGCATTTGCTAATAATTGCACTTTTGGCTATTGTTAAACCTCTTTTGCCCTGTCCCTATTGTTGTAAACTTTAAAGGCCACATTTAAAAGGCTCATAGGGGTTTGAGGTCCTATTGCTGCTTTTTGTAGCTTCCTCCTAGTGTAAGGGGCAGACTGAGTAATAAAATGCATACCTAGGAGAGCTTGTCCTTTTTGGGAGTCTGGGTCTGCATTAGTATATTTTCTGAGTGTTTCACCAAAATGACCCTGAAATAGAGTGGGATTTTCTCATTTTCCCTGAGTTATTTCTATAACCTTGTCGTAAATGACTGGCTTAACCACACAATTTTTCCTTCACTTTTTTTCTTTTCATGGCACAGCAAGCAAATGGCAATACTTGCAAGTCATGACAAGTTAAATCAAAGAATATGGTAAAATGTATAAACCTTTTTTTTTTTTTGATTCTCTGAAAACTGGCCAAATTTTTCCTTGTATAAAACCAAATTATAGATAGACAATGCCCCTTGTACTGTAAGTGTTCCTCCATTTCCATCAGCTATCTCCTGCAATGGATGTAGGTTTGACTTTAGGGGCTTATATGGGGCCCTACTCCTGGTGGTCCTGGTTGGGCTTACTTTTTTGGGCCCTTGGGGGTAAGGGCTTGGACTAGTTGGATAAGGGGAAGGGGTGCCTGATGACCTTGAGTTAGGATCCTTCATTAGAAAACTAATGGGACTACCCTCAGAATAGGACTGAGGAGACTTCAGACAGGGCATAGGCCTTCTACAGGGGAGCTGCTTGGAGAGGATCCCTTAGGTGTGGCTTTCTGGTGTCTGGAAGTAATGTGAACCACTATAGAGCCACAGAAGCCTGTGCATAAGATTTTCCTTTCTTTTTAGAGAGCAAATCTACTTGTTAAATATCACTATGATGTAAAGAACCCTGCCTAGGTTCTTTCTCTAGTTTAAATTTACTCCAGTTGTCTACAAGCCACCCTAGTGGCAAGTCTCTTGGGATGCTCACCGTTGTCCCCATGTTTAATAAAAATATCTACAGGGGTTTCAATTACCCTAAGTTTATTTTATCTTACTTTTTAAGAACGAGTCTCACTCTGTCACCCAGGCTGGAGTGCAATGGCACGATCTTGGCTCACTGCAACCTCCACCTCCCAGGTTCAAGTGATTCTCATGCCTCAGCCTTCCAAGTAGCTGGGATTACAGGTGCCCGCCACCATGCCCTGCTAATTTTTGTGTTTTTAGTAGAAATAGGGTTTCGCTATGTTGCCCAGGCTGGTCTCAAACTCCTGGCTCAAGCGATTCACCCACGTCAGCCTACTAAGGTGCTGGGATAACAGGCATGAGCCACCGCGCCTGGCCTAGTTAGCCTAAGTTTAGCAAATGCCTAGCTACTTTTCCCTTTTAATTTCTCACTTTATTCTACAGAGAAGGCATAATTGAGGGAGCAAAGTGTTACGAAGGTGCATTATGAGCTGAGCTATGAATGGGCAGTAGAATGTTGAACCTAAATTTTGCAGACAGCAAGTGTTATGCGGAGAGAGGCTAAACAAATGGTGACAATGGAAGGGAGAAAGGAAAAGGGGTTGCCCAGGGGGAAATCTCGGAGGCCCTGACTTGCTGGAGAACCTACCTACCAGCAGAGACACTGAAAAAAAATGTTTGGGTGGCCACTTGTTTACTGCTGTAGGTGGTTGGCTGTCATGCCAGGGGATTGGGTACTCCCAGCTTCTTCAACCAAGAGGGCTGAGCAAGGCAGTTATAAGCTAGCACAAAGGAAGGGGACTGCAACTGGCTATTAGGGAAGTAACTTCTAACTTCAGGGAAGACAAAGGCGAGACCAATATTTTCCTAGAGGTAGGGACTGTAATCCACAATCCTAGAGGGAATGTCAATGCTGAAAACCCCAGAGCATCTGCCGGGGCAGCCGAAAATACCAAAACCCGGAGTGCCTGAGTTTCAGCCAGCGAGGGTCTCCTCACCAAATACTGAAAACCCCATGGAGGCTGGACATGGTGGCTCACGCCTGTAATCCCAGCACTTTGGGAGGCCAAGATGGGTGGATC